TGTTCCCCGTCGACCCGAGGGCCCAGGACCCCGCGGCCATCACAGCACCAACCGCAGCTCCCACTTCGTTTTTTGCGTTTCCTACCTTCTGACATATATATATATATATTTATATATTTTTCACGCCTTGAGGGCATCACCTATTCCAATGGTTCCCGTGTGAGTACAGGTGTGGTCTCTACTGGATATAAATGTGTCTCTGAGTCGCCGTTCGGTCCGCGACGTGGGTGGCTGTCCCGACGGCACGCCCGGCCCCGCTCCTGGGGCGCGAGCGGTCGGGTGTGTGGGTCTGTTTCCTTTCTGCAGAGAAACGGGTCCCCTCAGTCCAGAGGCTCCTGCTTTATCCGGATGACGGAGGGCCCGCGGGGCGTCCGCCGCAGCTCGCGCCGCAGCACGTATTCGCTGAACTGGGACGAGTCCACGCCGCCGCCGCAGGAGCCCACGACCTCGAAGCCCCGCTGCTGCAGCCGCTCCAGGACCTGCGGGGGGCGAGACGGTGTGAGCGTGTTAGCGGGGCAGGTCCTCGGCCACCAAGGACTGCCCCCCCTGACCCCCCTTGCGAGGTCATGTGCAGCCTGGCCAAGCCCCCCAGCCCCGACGTCTCAGATGTCCCTTTACGTGTTAGCGTCCCACCTGCCAAGCTCAGGTTGTCATCACAACCTCCTGGCGGAATGGGTGGGGGGAGCCCGTGGTATAGATGAGAAACCTGAGGCTCGACTAGCCGGTTTGGCTCGGTGGATAGAGCGTCGGCCTGAGGACTGAAGGGTCCCAGGTTCGATTCCGGTCGAGGGCACATGCCCAGGTGGCGGGCTCAATCCCCAGTGGGGGGCGGGCAGGAGGCAGCCGGTCAATGATTCTCTCTCATCATTGATGAGTATCTATCTGTCTCTCCCTCTCCCTTCCTCTCTGAAATCAATAAAAATATATTTAAAAACAACAACAACAAAAAACTGAGGCTCTCGGTAAGGGATGGGATTGGGTTTCCAATTCGCATCTGTTGGTCTCAAGCCCCCGTTTCTTTGAAACGTGTGACACATCTTTTCGGGGGGCGGTGGGGAAAGCTCACATTTCAGTTCCTTTGCCACCGAAATATATTCCAGGAGGCGAAGGACAGGCACGTCGAT